AAATAGCTGAGAAGATTAAGGAACGTCTTAATGAATCGCATGAGAGAGTTGAGGATTTCATGGAGCTTGCACACTAAGACTTAACGTGTACAAATGTGGAGGCGGCTTTCATGGACATGTGGACCTACCTGCCTGCCTGTTTGGAATGGGAAGATATGTTCATGTAAATTTTCAGAGTGCTAAGCTTTTTGTTTTTCACTAGCTATCTGTTGGCTCTCGTCCCTTTCCCATAAATGTTGTGTATTATTGATTTATTGTAAGTTGGTGCGTGGCATCTTAGTTGTGCTTTTGTTACATTCCTTTGAAGTGTATATGTTCACATTTGAACATTCTGTTTATATTTGAGGTTACTGCGTTACATTTCGAAGTCGCAATGTGGTATTTGATGTTACAATTTGGCAATTTTAAAGTAACTATGTGGCATAATTTGAAAATACTAGATGTGTATTTGATCGAAAACTGAACAGTATTGCTCTCTCCGCAGTACTGTTGCACGCAGAAGTTTCTTAAAAAAAAATTTCATCGAGTATCTCTGTCTGCTGGCGTGTTGAGGGAAGCCAGAAGATCACACTCTTACTAAAACTGAAACTAATACACTTTTGGCGCACATTTCACAACTACTGGTGACTACTTGCAAGCTGTTTTGAGGGGGAGGGTGGGGATTGGGCGGGCGTATTTAGGATGTGTTGAGTGTGTTGAGGGAAGCCAGCAGGTCATCGAGTCGGCTGATGTCAGCCGTGTGGGGCACTCCAGGTTTCTAATTTTACAAAGTGAAAGAGACTGTTTGCTCACATGCCGTCACCGGGCATCGTAAGCTTTGCCTCTATCTGCGCTGGCCCTTTGTGTAAACGGCGGCCGAATGGGACGTGTGCCTGTTTACAGGAGGGAGCATGCTACCAAAAGAACGGAGTAAGGACGTTATGATGAGCCAAAGTTATTGGATTATGCAAGACATGGACTGGCATAAGTGTATAGCGGCAATACGACTTTTCCCTAACTATGAAAAAAGCAGGCTGGGAAGTTGGAATTTGATGCTCACAATGCTACTTTTCGAAATAGTCAGCCTGCAAATTGACACAGTTTTGCCATTTTGTTTGACCTCCAAAAGTCCTTGAGCATGGTATGTCCTCGAGTGTGACTCAACCATTCCTCTACTACAGATATAGCGTCCTCATCACTGTGGGAACGCTATCCTTCGAGAATTAAAAAAAAACCGATTTAGCAAAAGGTAAAAGTCTGGGTGTATAGGGTGGGTGGGGAGAATTTCATAACCACACTGCTTTGCCGTCTCGGTTGCCGTCACCGCTCTGTGCACTAGCATTGATGGGCAGCAGGGGAAATTTGTTTCACAGCTTCGCTAGTATCCAAGAATTACTTTCACTAAAAGTGCTCTCGGGGTCAAATCGCTCGTCAGAATGTTTCAAAACTCCGCACGCAGCGTCCCAGAAAGATACAAATCACTTCCGCAAGTTCTATCAATTTACGACAAATCCTTTTTACTCGGACCGGAGTAGACTTATTGAACGCCTTTATGAATGCTACCCGGTTCTGACCGCGCGGGG